GGATCAGACTGCGGTGCAGTGGGTGGGTCGGTGTGGGTCTGGACGCTGTGCAGCTCGCACTCTTGAGCTCCTCTGCCCACAGTGTGAGGCTCAGGGCTCTAACTGTCACTGGGGCCTAGGCTGGCAGTGCCGGGGGGTGGGAACTACATTTCCCAGAATTTTGTAGTCCCAAACGATGGTGCGGCACTGAATGCGGTTCCCTTCCCCTGCAGGGTTTGGTGACTTCAATTGCTTGGTTCCGGGACCAATGTCGTCGAGGCGAGAGGCCGGCAGACAGGGACACAGCGATCCGTAAACGCGTGGAGAGAGAGAGAGCGAGCGAGACAGACTGCGAGCTTCGACTTTCACAGGTGAGGATCCCCCTGACGGGAGCAGAGGAGAGAGGGAATTCACCCCCTGCGTGTCCCTGTGTGTGTGTCCTCCCAGGTCTCTGTCTCAGCCTGTGTCTCTCTTTAGACAGAGGCAAGGACAGACGGACAGGTGGTTGCCATGTCGACCTCATCGCTACGGCGACAAGTGAAAAACATTGTGCACAACTACTCTGAGGCCGAGATCAAGGTGAGTCTGTCTCCGTGGCGACGGTGTGGGTGGGTCAGGGGTGGGCAAAGTGGTGTGTTAGTCAGTGGCTGGGCGGTGGTGTGCCCTGGCAGTCAGGGTCTCAGCGGGGGTTCAGGTCAGCGGGTGGGTCAGTCAAGGGCTCAGTGGTTGGATCGTTCAGGGGTCAGTTGGTCAGTCGGGGTCTCAGCAGGGGGGCCAGTCAGGGGGGCAGCGGACAGGAGCTGACGTGGCACCGCCCCCCCTCCTCTCGCAGGTGCGCGAGGCGACCTCCAACGACCCCTGGGGCCCCTCCAGCTCCCTGATGTCGGAGATCGCCGACCTGACCTACAACGTGGTGGCCTTCTCGGAGATCATGAGCATGGTCTGGAAGAGGCTCAACGACCACGGCAAGAACTGGCGCCACGTCTACAAGGTGAGCAGGGCTGGGGTCCCCTCCGCCGCCAGCGGGGTCCCCCCACCGGCACGGCCGCCACGCGCAGAGGGATGGGGCCAGTTCAGAGAGGGGGGTTGTTAGGAGGCCATGATGGGTAAAGGCCAGGGGGACATTTGGCCAGGACACTGGGGTAACACCCCTACTCCTCTCGAGAGACGCCCCGGGATTGTTCATGACCACAGAGAGTCAGGACATCGGTTTGACGTCTCATCCGAAGGACGGCGCCTGTTTCCAGTCTAGTGTCCCCGTCACTGTACTGGGTGAGCGCCCCCTGCTGGCCCCACTGACACCTCTCCCTGCAGCAGGCTGAGCTGTCCCAGGAGTCTCCCTGCAGGTCCTGGCCAGGCTCGCCCCGCTGGGCTCCGGGGGGGCGGTCTGGGTAGACATGAGCGAAGGGTCAGAGGTCACGGGGGCGGGGTCAGTGACGGGCCGCGCTCTCCCTCCGCCAGGCCATGACCCTGATGGAGTACCTGATCAAGACGGGCTCGGAGCGCGTGGCCCAGCAGTGCCGGGAGAACATCTACGCCGTGCAGACGCTGAAGGACTTCCAGTACGTGGACCGCGACGGCAAGGACCAGGGCGTGAACGTGCGCGAGAAGGCCAAGCAGCTGGTGGCGCTGCTCAAGGACGAGGAGCGCCTGCGCGAGGAGCGGGTCCACGCCCTCAAGACCAAGGAGAAGATGGCCCAGACCTCCAGCGGTGAGGGGACTACACGTCCCAGCATGCGCTGGGAACTGTAATTTTTGTGCACTGTCTTTTTCACTTAACTATATTCCGCATGAGGTTTGAGAGATGCAACGCCCAGATGGGTTCTGGTTCTTTCTTTGCGGGAGGCATACTGGGAGGAGTAGTTCGCTGAGCGAATTATGTCGCAAAGCAAAAAGTGTGGTGGCAGTAGTTTCTTGGGGAGCAGTTAGGGGGTCTGTTGTGGGGCATGCTGAGAGCTGTAGTCCGACAGACCGAATGGGAGTGTGGTTTAAGGACTGTACTGGGGAGTGAACCCCATTTCCCTCTCCCCTCTCTCTCAGCGCCTATGTTAACGCCTCCTTTTCTCCCCCAGCGTCCTCTGCTCCCTCTGCGCCAGGCCTTGGGGGCGGGCCCTCCCTGGGCCCCGCCCCCCCAGGCCCCGGAGGCGGGGCCGATCCCGAGCAGGCGTGGCCTCAGAGCTCGGGGGAGGAGGATCTGCAGCTCCAGCTGGCCCTGGCCATGAGCAAGGAGGAGGCCGAGCAGGTAGACTACACTTCCCATGGTGCTTTTCTGTGTCGGCGGGGTCAGGTTCCCTTGGGTCTTCAGGCTTCCAGGACACCGAGACCTAACAGGGAGTGCTGAATAAAGCATGCTGGGAGCTGTAGTTTTCGTGATGGCGTGTTCGGCAGAAGCAGGGCTATGGTTGACTGAGTTGCCTACAAATCCCATTATGCACTGAGCCTAAGTGCCACTTCAGGCTAAGTGTCCCTGCTGGGCACAGCTAGGAGGTGTAGTGAGATTTGAGACAGGGTGTTTGTGGGGCGTCAGTGAGAGCTGAGGTCTACCAAGCAGAATGTGTTGGGGACTATATTGTTGGCAGTTTTCACCGATCTGTTGGCACACTGCCGCCCGTGCTTCATGGTTTTGCCTGTCAGCACAGGCTTTTTCCTTGCAGATCAGGTCAATCCAAATGAAATGCCCTTCCCATGATGCCTTTCTTGGGCAGGGGGGCCTGGGAAGGGTGGGGCAGCAGCGGTGTTGCTAAGGGTGCTGGGAGCTGTAGTGAAGATGCCCCCCCTGGCCTCTGTCTGTGCAGTCGGGCCCCGCGTGTGGCCCCGAGGACATGCAGCTGGAGGTGGCTTTCTCCCTCAGCAGGGAGGCGCACCTGAAGGTCAGGGGTCGCGGGGAGAGTCCTGATGACGGGCTGCAGATCCCGGAGCGGATCGGTCTGCTGCGCACCGGGAGTCCGACTGACTGACGGGC